AAAGTCTTGCCTCTTGCTGTTTGCCCAGCATGTTGTGCTGTTAACATCTGATTCATTAACTTAATTGGTTTTTCTAGATCACTTCACTGTGTCACAACCAAGTTGATAATGGGCCTTGCTTGATTTAAGATTCAGCTAACTTGCAGAGAAGATAATCCTGTAGGAGCTTTACCTTTCAGAACTAAGTACCAAGGAACTGATGATCCAGACAGTTGTTTGCAGTTCAGACGGCTTGCAAGAAAAATCCATTCTTGAGAGTTTTCACTGTATGTACATTTTACTTCCCAAGGAAGGAATGGCAGGGTACCAGTTGGAGTTGGTAAACTGCAGCTTCATACAGTGTAATGCTACTACAACAAAAGGTGTTAAGACCTACACAAAATGTTGGGTGAAGCGGTCACTTAGTGGGACAGTTTTAGTCACTTTTACACCCCTTCCTGGCTCTTGCTTCTGGCCATTTAATTGTGTAATTACATAGATTTTACTGTTTTCTTCCAACTGCCATAAAGTTAGTGCGTGCTTTTCTGAGGGTGAATTTGATCACTTATACATCTCTTATTTTTTTAATTCGGGGAAACTGACATACCAAAGCATCCTCAATGAACCTCCATAAGCACCTTTAATATTTTGGGGGGGCTGTGCAGGATGTTTTATTTGACAAACAAACTTGTTAAACATTAAAATTTACATTACAGTTTTAAATATCAGTTTTGCCTGTTCACTGGTGGATCCAAACTTGTAACTGTTCTTTCAGACATAAAGTGCATCTTTGGATACGGTAAACTTCCTTTTTAAATTTTTTGAAATACTGATTATCTTTTTTTTCAAGCATTGCCAGCTCAGTCTGTGTATACTTCTAATGCTGAGTTTTATGAAAGGAATAAATGTGTGCTTGGCCGGTGTTCGACCTTTTTTTATGACTGGCTCAGGGGAATGGACACATGGCCCAGGCTAGCCTTTGATCAAGGCGCCTTCCGCGAAATGGATCGTTGCTAAAGAGCGAGGAGTTGGAGGAGACTTGTTTAAGCACCACACCAACGCATGAAGTAAGACTACACGATGAACTGCACGTACGCCCCGCGCAACTTTGGAGTTCTGCCCCACGTAGCTTATGTTTTTCTTTACATTTGCTACGGTTTCGGTAGCAGATATGATATATGCGTATGCAGAAGTCTCCACCAATTAAAACGATCACCTCTGTCATGGGATTGCATCATGCATGTATGAATTATTCGTCATTACAATGCATGCGCGTATTCAACATGGCGTCTTTTCCGGCAGTGGTGTCAGCTCTGCAATGTAGCACCAAAGCTTGGGATTCCGATTGACAAATTGAAACCACAGCAAATGTTGGCCACGAAGGCTGTTCTGGAGGTTCGAGATGTGTTTGTCAATCTTTAAGCTGGATGTGGCAAAAGTTTCATATACTAGGCTGCATCGTTCTGCAAAGACTTCATGAATATATGTAGCCTTGACACTGCAATGCTCTGCAATGTAGCACCAAAGCTTGGGATTCCGATTGACAAATTGAAACCACAGCAAATGTTGGCCATGAAGGCTGTTCTGGAGGGTCGAGATGTGTTTGTCAATCTTTAAGCTGGATATGGCAAAAGTTTCATATGCTAGGCTGCATCGTTGTGCAAAGACTTCATGAATATAAGTAGCCTTGACGCATGGTAGGCCTACTTAGCCCCAAAACACGATTGGTTAAGATAAATGTGAATAATTCTTAACATTAGCATATTGAATAATTCAGATAAACCGCTAAAAACAAAGCTCGAAAGGTGCTTACGGCGGAGCGCACAGTCCACGACACACACAGCTCAGCTACTGCATGCGCATGCATAGTTTATTTCAGCCGTGCGTGTGGTTCGTCATGTAGTCTTTCTTCGTGCGTTGGTTTGGTGTTTAACCCCTTTGCGCCGGGATTCTTTTGACCGTGACTGCTGGGCTGTGGTATGCCCTGAATGGAGGAGGGCTTTGTCCATCAGCAGGCCCCATTGAACCAGCAGCTGCATGGTGAAGAGATTGTATGTGTGCTATGCACTAATCCTCACACAAAGCCGCCGCTCTTGCCGTCTTCCGGAGCAAAGGGGTTAAACTAGTCTCCTCCAGCTCCTCGCTCTTGAGCGACTATCCATTTCGCTGCGGGCACCTTGATCAAAGGCTAGGCCCAGGCAGTATCAGCGTCCTTTCTCTTAAGACCGTCTTAAACATTAGCCAAGCACATACTTATTTCCATTCTTAAATACCTTTTGAGTTTGAATGAACATGTTTAAAAGTTACAAAGTTTCAACAAGTTTGGTCAACAATTTCATTTCATATTTGAATACTCCCCTGAAGCCATGTTAAAGTGTGTTCCTCTCGCAAGCAGTCATAGATAATCTCCTGTGTATGAATGAGTGCCTGTGCGCACTTACAAATGTAATTTTGGGGCAATCATGGACATTCCTATTGTCCTGTTTTGTTCATACTTTAACTTTTTTGGAAGGCCTCTAATATATTTTGTACATGTTTGGCCATCGTGGACGTATCGGGAATCGTGGATGGTCATTAATTCTTTTGTTTAACGTCCACGATTGTTTGGGAACACCGGCACATGTAGTGTATACTTTTTGAGGTGGCGCACAGCCAGCCATTGGTTTATCAACTGTTAAAGACAGGCCATGTGATAGGCTCTCAACCAATTGGAAAGGCTAAACAGGTTTGAAATCAATATAATAGCAAACATCATTATTTTGAGCTGCAATCATCGACGACTTCAGTGACTTTTCTATAGCACATGGTACATTTTTAAACATAAATGAATGAGACATATCATGTATGTTATAGACTTGGCCCTGTTTGTCAACATGACAAACAGATGACTTTGTCCAAAATGTTCAGAGAAATTAAATTCTAAACTATTTTGGATGGAAGCGATATGGTCGCTGCTGTTGAGGCATGCAGATGTGGAGTTGAACCACTCAGCTTGCTGCAAATATACATCGGCTCATTTTCTTTGGAATGAAAAGTGCTGTTTGAAGAACATATAGTATGACGTTAAAAGAGTGCGTGTCGCTCGGCGAATGTCTTTGTTCCTGAGGTAGTAGATGACCACATTCAGCCAGCTGTTGGTCAGAAGTGGCAATTGCATCATGAAGAAAAAGGTGATTTGATTGATACTGTCTGGAGGGAGTATATGGCGAAGGAGCCAGCAAACAAACGGCAGGACTGTGCATACCAATGTCGTCAGAGCAATGATGAGGATTGTTTGAAGAGTTTTGTGGTTGGATTTCACCAGCATGTGTCCGTCCCCAGCGACTTGGTTATCGGCATGGATGCGTCTTGCATGACGCCGTGAAATGATGAAAAGTCGGATGTAAGTCACTGGAATCACAGTCAGAATGCAGAGAAATAGGATGACACTGGTCCCGAAAACAATGTAGAGGGCCAACAAAGAATAAAAAAAGACACACAGAAAAGACGGTGCGTAATAAACAGATATCCAGCTATGTAAACAGGCAGTGGAGATGGCATACACGACAGCTATACCCCATGAACACAACACGGCAACCCAGGCTCTCTTCACGGTTACAATAGATGAGTAGCGAAGTGCATACTCCACTGAAATGTAACGATCAACTGTGAGCATTATCAATGAAAGTTGGGAACTGGTAGCACACACAGCTAAAGCTAACGGTTGAAGTATACAGACCACATCCCCTAGCACCCAGGTGCCGGATACAGCAGAAATCGTCATTGGAAGAGCGGAACATATCCCAATGCCCAGATCAGCAGCTGTTAGAGATTGCAGGAAGACCTTGGTAGTCTCCGGGATGCTGTCTACATGTCTGAGAACGAGCAAACACAGAGGGTTCAGTGTCAGAAGGAGAAGGGTGGACAGGAAGAGCAGGATGGTTTGAAAAACCATATAATCACTGACATGACCTTCAAATGTAGGTAGACTAGATGCATTGTCCGCACCCAGATCAGCATCGGTTGGAGTTGAATTCATGATGAATCAAGGCTAAGGTTTGAAAATGGTTTCCTGCTGGTTCCAGTAGAATTTTACTCCAGGACTTGCCTCGTCGACGCTACAAAACTGCTTAATGAGGGTCTGAGTTGAAACCTGTTCTATTGTAGCACTCGAAATCAACTTGGATAGCCTCTGCACAAGTGTTGCACAGAAAGAAGTGTGCTTAACAGCTCAATGTTTTAGAAAATGTTTTGCACTTGCGAGAGATGAAGTGTATTATCCAGCTTTTTCTTGGACTCCTACTTGCCACTCAATCCACCAATGATAGTTCAGGCCCACCATACACAGATCTCTCTGAGAATGTGATATCAGTTTGAGTGCACCATGACTAATGGTCTATTGGCACAGTAAGACTTGCTTCTTGTTTGTACTCATTAAGATGAAAATGGTGGACAGCTTGTTTAGTGTCATTTTGCAGGAAATTCTTGCCCCTCGGTGTTTACCTTGTATTGTGTGCTGTAAAAATCCTGTCCATTAACCTAATTGGTTTTTCTCCTTCAGATTGCAGTGTCACAACCAAGTTGCTAATGGGCCTTGCTTGATTTAAGATTCAGCTAACTTGGAGGGAAGAGGAGGAGCTTTTTTCTTTTCCTTTCAGAACTAAGTACCAAGGAATTGATGACAGTTGATTGCTTAGTAAATGGCATGAAAGAAAAAGCCATTCTTGAGAGTCCTAGCTGATTTACTTTTGATTTCACCATGAGCTAGTCACAATCCATTGATAACCTGCTTGTTGGTAATGTGTCTTCTTTGCACAGAATGCCATCGCCAACCACGAATCCAATGGTCTGGACATCATCACTGCTCTCATCCTGAATGATATCAACCCCTTAGGCAAGAACCGGATGGACTTGGTTCTAGAACTCAAGGTGAAGCTGTGGGATTGTGCCCCCATACGTACAACAAAGAACAGTGGACAGTCTTTTGGGCTCATCTGAGAAAGCTTGTTCCTTGTGAAAATGTTTCAGATCTATTCTCCACATACCATCAACGTTTGAATAGTCCAAGGAGAGATTATTAATTCAGGAAAATGGAAGATTCCTAAAATGTGAATCTAGTCTATTTTGGGGAGAAGTGAAAACTGAAATAAAAGAAACTTAACCACAGTTTTATTTTCACCTTCAATTTGTAAGGATTATACGAGGACTTTAAGCCGGTTAGTTTTTCAAAGTCTCTTCCCTCCTGCCAAAAAGAAGTTTGCCCTCAAAATGGGTCCATAAATACAGCTTCCTTTAGTATTTTGGCAGATAGTTGACTCGGGTTAAATACAAAGTAATTTTTCCCAAATATTTCTACTTTACTTTGATAATTGCCGTCTGACCTCAATAGATGGCCCTTCCTTCATCTAGTGACTTGTTTAATCTCTGCAGAACAATGCTTCCAAGCTGCTTCTGGCCATTATGGAGAGCAGACATGACAGTGAGAACGCCGAGAGGATTCTGCTCAACATGAGCCCCAAACAGTTGGTAAGGGCTGTGTCCCTCAATGCAGGCTGAGTTTAGTAGTGTGCTGTTTGTTTTCAGTGGTGGAGAGCAGAGGTGTTGCCATTGCAACTGTGTGCTCTATGTACCATTTAATGCATGTTGGTTTTGTGCACATTCTGGTGAAATTTAGTCTGGTGTGTGCTTTACTTTATGCATGTTAATGAAGGCACTGTCTCAAGGCTGGAGCACATTTCATGGAGTTGCTTATCTCAGACATTTACTAAGCACAATAAAACTTGGTTTTGGAAAAACTGGTTACCAGCCTCAGAATAATGAACTGTACATGTTGTGTTGGTTCTGACTGATACCCAGCTGACATATCTCCTAAGCTTCTCTATAAAATGTTAGGCTTTGGTCACAAAATACCATCTACTGCTCCTGCTTGGAGTCTGGTCCATTCTCCATTTGCTGACTACAGTCTTCCATTGTCAAGATTTGGGAACATTTTTCACGCTTTGTCCTTTACTGTGCCTCACTGTGATCAGTCGCTGTTGTTCTTTCTCCTGCACCCCGTCCCCTTTTCCTCTAATCTGCCGCCCTGTCCACCCATTCTGCAGGTGGATGTGATCAAGCAGGCCTACCAGCAGGAAGACATGGAGAGGGATGATGACGATGAGCTGGTGATAGAAGATGACGATGAAGCCATCTCCCCCCGGGAAGTTGGACACAATATCTACATCCTGGCACATCAGGTTAGTAATTGGTTGAAAGGAAAAGAGTTCTGTTCAGGCCAGCATGTTCTGTCGGGCTCATAAAATAGCATGCTTTTGAGTAGCAAAAATTGTCCTTTGATGTAAATTCACCGCATGCGCACACAGATTTAAGCGCAATTGGCCCAGGGTACGCAGAGTACTGGCTTTCAGTACGGGCGTTTCACAATAGTCCGCCTCCGAGAGTTAGCAATGCATTGACAAATCACAATGCACAAAATATATTGACCCTTTATGAATGCGCAGTGCCAGTCGACACGTCCGGACTTGTCAACCTGCATTGCGTACTAGGGCCACCATGTTGCAAACGCTTGGCAGCGCACTATTGTGAAACGCCAGTATTTATGTTGGAATGGTTGATTAGTATGGTCTTAGCAGGTGCCCAGGGCACCCGGGTGAAACGATTCCCAACAGTCTGTCTCTTCTTTGCCGTTGAGGGGGTGCTTCAAGTTTTTGGCAGATTTCTTCAAGATTCATGACGTAAGTTCTTTAAATCCTCAGTGGAAAGAACTAATTGGAACTACAATGCTGTATACAGAATGTATGTCCCTCCACGAAGGCAGCAAATTACCCATGAGGCTTTGCTACTCCTGTACTTCCTTCATCAAATTCTGTATAGTGCCTTAGCCTATCCCAGCACCATCCAAGGGTGGTGGGAATGAGTTACTGGCAATGGTGCTTTAAAAAAAATAATAAATTTCCAGAAAAATTACTTTGGAAAAAATTAACTGTTTTTTGTGGTTTTGTAGGAGTGGTTTTGTATGAAAAACCATTCTGTCAAGACTTAACTCACTTTTTGTTTGGGGGGTCATGTTTTGTTGTTAGAAATAAGTTTCACTTCAGGGTGTCCATGGGAACAAAATTAATGTCTACAACTTAACATCTTCTTCACAGCTTGCTAACCATAACAAGGAGTTGGCGTCTCTGCTGAAGCCAACTGGACCCAACTCAGAATACTCCGATAGGGC